TGCAGCCCACATTGTCTTTCCCCTATCAGCATGCGAGAGGGAGTCTGGCTCCCCCATGTGGATTTATGTCTTCCTGGGTAATATGCTGCGTGGGATCGGAGAGACGCCCATCATGCCCCTGGGAGTCTCCTACCTGGATGACTTTGCCCGCGAGGAAAACGCGGCCTTTTACCTTTGTAAGAAAAAATATGGAACAAAAATAAATGTGAAAGAGAAGTCCGTACATGCTAAAATAAGAACAATACGGGTGTGTGTTCTCTCTGTTTCTCTTTGAACTTAGGAAGTTCTCTGATCCACCGAGAGGCTTTGTGCTCCTGTGGTTTATATGCTGTGCTTCTGTTTCCTAAAGCGATTCCACCAAAACAGTAAAAGTGACCCGAGTTTAGGGATTTAAGTGGGCTTTGCATCTCCCCCCTCTTCTCTACAGCTTGCGTGCAGACCATCGGCATCTTGGGACCTATGTTTGGGTTCATGCTGGGCTCTTTATGTGCCACACTTTACGTTGACGTCGGCGCTGTGGATTTAGGTAACCAACTTTCTCCATGTGTCCAAATTTGAAGACTTTTTCATAAAAAAATACAAACCTTGACTTAACCTTGAGCAGTAATATCACCAGCATCTGTAACTGGAAGCGTCAGTCTGAACTAACCTTAAAAGTTTGATATCTTAGTCTGTTAAACTGGGAATTTTATATTTAAATGGCATCTAATTTTATTATTACAACACAGGTTTTTTTTGTGTAGTCTGCTTTCCTACTCTGCTGTTTGTCTTCAGGCCATGGGGGCCAACTTGAGCTCAAAGATGAAATTTGAGGTCAGGGACGAAGGTTGTGACCTGGCATCCATATATTAGTCTGTTCCTTCCTTTTGCTTAGGAAGCTACCACATCAATCCTGGGGCAACTTGAAAATTAAGCTTTCTAGAATTTGGTTTATGTTGTAGACACCTTGAGAGTCTTATATTGATTGCTTGAAATTCTCTGTGATTAATAGGAGCTCTAGTACAAAATAATAGATATTGATATTTACTCAGAGGTGTAACAACAGGATAAGTAGCGCAGGCAATTGATTGGGGCCCCACGCTGGGAGGGCCCCCCCGAGGTGGCCAATTACTCAGAACAATACAACGACAAATCCACTTTATTTGTGAATTCTGTTTTTTGCCAAAGTTAAAATAAAGGATTTGTGTTTATTCAATTCAATTCATTTTTGTATAGTGCATTTTCACAACATTATATTGTCTCAAGTGCTTTACATTCCTTTATTAAATTCTCTTTGTTGAAATTATAAATTTAGATTTCACAGTAATATAAACAAATTTTACCGTGTTGGGGGAGGGGGAGTTGGAGCGCCCCATGGATAACATGGATAGTTAACACCTGGATAACTTTTTACTTAATATTGTTTATGGGACTACTATGTAGTCATTATTAAATCAAATGTTGAGTAAGAGTATAATGAATATGTTAATTAAGCATCTTTAGTTTTGTATTTTTGTTTTGGAATAAAATTCCAAAGTTTCAGAAAGTATGTATTTATTCCAAGTTATCATAGGAGCATCAGTATTCAGAAGCATAGCCAAAACTCAGTCAGTAGGAGGACAAAAGAGTGACACTAGTGTTGTAGTTCTCGAGACCGGTCTCGAGACCAATTTTTTGTGGTCTCGGTCTTGTCTTGGTCTCGACTCTATTTGGTCTCGGTCTTGTCTTGGTCTCGGACATAGCGGTCTCGATGGGATGGGGAAAAAAAGAGAAAACTGCGCATCTTCACAGAACAGTATCATTATTTATTACGCGCCTCAATTCAAATGCAACCAGTCAGATGCATCCATTTCAAAAACGTTACATTTTATACATTTTCTCCACGGACACTGCCAGTGCTTCACAGTCCACAAACATCATACACATCGTATCATACATCGGCAAAAAAATGTCCGAAAATGTCCACGAAGTCTATAGCATAGTTATAAATTCAAATAAATTAGGTATTTTACATTGATTAGAAAGCACGGTCTTGGAGGTGCAAGTCAATCTGGAGGCTCATTCTCTTCAATTCAAAGCAAAGGATCATTACATAGCTGTATTCATAGCTTACCCGAGGCCTCTGTCCCTGGTATAAGAGACTTAATATGAACATCTTTCTGGTACATCCCATCTCTTTCCCTTGACGAGGTCTGATAAAATGGTTATAGGAGAGGATTGCTGAGAATATTATTTTCCATCAGGTCTCGTAACTATGACAAATGTGGGAGATTTTAAATGAGAGACATATGGACATACGGACAATATAATTGAAAAGATAACATGAATTTGATTTAACGAGTAATGACACTTTACAGCAATGCCTTTTTTCTCTACAGTTGATCTGGGTAATGTGATGTCGATTCTAGCCCTAGTCTGTTTTCGATCTTGGTTTTGGTCTTGGTCTCGACCAGTCTTGGTCTTGGTCTCGCCTTAGTGTGTCTTGGTCTTGGTCTTGGTCTTGGTTTTGGTACCCTCAAGTCTCGGCAGTGTCTTGGTCTTGATGCCCTGTGGTCTCTGCAATGTCTTGGTCTCGGTTTAGGCGGTCTTGACTACAACACTAAGTGACACCCTAGGCTTAAGGCTGGAAGACGAGTGGCGATGCGTCGGCACGTTTGGTAAAACCCTATGCCCAGTGACATGTTGTTTGTGCTTACAGAGACCGTGTCCATCAATCACAAGGACTCCCGCTGGGTGGGTGCCTGGTGGCTGGGTTTCCTGGTTACTGCGGCTGTCATGCTTCTGGCTGGGATCCCCTTCTGGTTCCTGCCCAGATCCCTCCCCAAGCAGGGTGAAGGGAAGACCAAGGACAAGGCCAAGGATGAGCAGAGTGCGGCCCAACAGGAGTGCTTTATTGTAGAGGAGAAGAGCGATACGGACCACGAGAAGCCATGCCTGGTGCACCTGTCTGAACTGGCCAAAGGTCTGTGATTTCACATTCTTTATTAGGGATGTAACGATACGAAAAACTCACTGTACGATAATACTGTGATAAAATGTCCACGATAGGATAATTATCACGATATTAAAAAGGGAAAAAACTCTTAATAATTAATAATCAACATGTTTATTTATATCGAATTAGTTCTTCCTTTTAACATAAAGTGCTTCTGCTTTTATTAGTGAAATATCCAGCTATGACCTTAAGCCTTTGCCAGAACTTAGCAGTAATTGTCCTTTGCAATGAATGACTGAACAATGCATGTAATTATAAAACAAAAACAAGGAGTCAGTAGTTCCTTTATAAAATATTAATTATTACTGCAGCAACTGGATCTTTTAATCAAAACACAATCTGAAATTCTGAAGTAGTGTTTTCTGCCATTTTTCCGCCGGATTTGTTGTCACTGCGTGAAATATAGGCCACGCCCATACTTACTAACACACTAAATAATGTGTGAAAACAGTCCACGTGTAACACTTATGAACCTTTTTGGGTCCACTTAGTAGTGTTACTGGCCAGTTCAAGGTTCGATGGGAGTGGTGGGGGAAAAGATAATGACACCTCAAAATTTAAGATTAAGATTAAGATTAAGAAGAACTTTATTTATCCCGAGGGAAATTCTTTTGTCATACACATGCTCAGTGCAGTAAGAGAGACAGAGATATACATACAATATAAGAAATAGGAATATATATATCTAAGAAAAAAGAAATACAATATATACAATAAGAATGTTACTTTACAATAATAATTTAGAACAGCAACCTTTAATAAATATTAATTGTAGAATGTCATGCCCCGATCGTCCGCTCCTCTCGTGTGCCACGCCCCCTCGTTAACCCCATTTGGATTCCCCGTGTTTACCAGCTGTTCCTGATTGTTGTCAATTAGTCCATTGTATTTAGTCCGCGTTTCCGTTTGTTTCCCCAGTCCGGTCATTGTAGTGTTATGCCGTTTTCTGTCCTGTCTGCCTCTCCGAATGTCAATTAAAACCCTTACTCCGGATTCCTCGTCTTCGTCGCCCGCTTCCTTGGTCCGTGCTCGGCACGGTCATGACATAGAACATGAAGAATCGTGAATAAATTTACATACATTTTCATTTAAATGGAAAAAAGTAAATCTACCTCTTTATAAAGTATGGATTTAAATATTGTTTGTTTTAGGTTCTGACTCCAGTGGTTAAATCAGTTATTCCTAGTTAATCCTAAATCTAAATCTAGTTATATCCAAGTTCAGTTTTGCTAATTTTTGACCGCACAGATCGTATAAAATAATTATTTTGTATTTATTTATAATCCCCCAAATGAATAAGTCCTTATTTAAATTCTCTATCCAGTATCTTTAGCACCTACTTATCTATCCTTTAAATCAGTAACCTCCCCCCACATTGCAGTGCATGTGTGCAGTGCTGGTCTAATGCAGTGCATTAGACCAACGTACAACATCCTGGAAATCTAACTTTAAGAAAGACGTGTTATGTTTGTTGTTACATCCCTATTCTTTATTCACGCCGCCTCACACAACCTTAGCCTGACACAGTGATCAAGAAAACCTGAACAAACAGTGGATTGTTTTGTGCATCACAGGCTTGGTGCATCACTGTTAGTTTCTCTGTAAACACTCACCAGACGAATGTGTCCCCATCATCTCCCAGACTTCCTGCCTTCTTTGAAGAGGCTCTTCAGCAATAGCGTCTTCTGTCTGCTCTTGGTGGTGGCTGTGGTGCAAGTCAATAGCTTCATAGGGATGATCACCTTTAAACCCAAATTCATGGAGCAAGTTTATGGTCAAGCACCCTCAAGGGCCATTTTTATGATTGGTGAGTTGTCTAATTGGTTCCTTGAGGTTTCAAGGAATAACACATTTAATCTGTCACCGTAATGTTATTGACTTCATGGGGAATTATCTCTATATGTAAGCATTGTCAACATATGGCACATGCAAGGCAGTATGTATCTTTCCATCCTTTCCTTCTGCCAGGCATCATGAATCTACCTGCAGTGGCCTTGGGGATGATTACAGGCGGCTTTGTGATGAAGAAATTCAAGCTGAGCATTTTGGGGGCAGCGAAGGTGGCCATCTGCAGCTCGCTCTGCTCGTTCCTCACTTCCCTCTTGCAGTACTTCCTGCAGTGTGGCAATGCACAAGTGGCTGGTCTAACAGTCTCCTACCAGGGGTAAGTGCTTGAGGTCACTTGGAAACCAAGAACCCACTGGAGTCCTGCTCTTACTGGCCAGGGGATCTTGTTATTTTGCAAATGATTGACAATTCTGACTAAAGAAAAGCTGTGTGACAGGGCTGTATACGGAGGCAGGTCCACAGGGGCACGGGCCCCAGCTGTAACCTGATTGGCCCTCGGTATGCCTCCTCTCCTGTCACTCAGTAATTCAAAACTTATCATTGGCTAATAACAAGATTGGCACCTCTTTATGAATTATGACCTCTCTTTTGTACCCCACCTTAAAAAAATCCCAGAATCCCCCCCTGCTGATCAACCATTTGCAGGTCAAATTAAGTTAAAATGTCAACAACATAACCCATCGATCTCTCGTACTGCTTATCCAGTACAGAGTATCTTAGCAACAAATTACCACGATAATACTGCTGTGTCTGATGCATCACTAAGAGCTGTGGCTGGGAGTTCTGGGGAGGTGCCTGTTCCCTTGTACTGACTCACACTCTCCTTTGCCAGACTGAAGAATGTCTCCTACTACCAGGAGAACCTGCTGTCCCAGTGCAACCTGGGCTGCTCCTGTTCACTGAAGCACTGGGACCCTGTGTGCGGACCAAACGGCATCACCTACGTCTCCCCCTGCCTGGCTGGCTGTCAGACCTCCACCAGAGTGGGCAAGGAAATGGTGAGTCCCCCCATGTCATTTCTGTTAATTATGCAAAGTCCATCCATCATCCATCATTCATCCATCCATCCATCCACCATTTCCTGTAACCTCTTGTTCTTTGCAGGGTCCTGAGTGGTCCAGAGCATATTAATTAAGCAAAGTATATATATAAAAAAAAAAGTTTCTAAATATTTAGCTCAGCATGCAAGTCATTCCTGCTTCTTTCTTTTTATGAATTCTCTGGTAAACAGGCACATATACATGCTCAGAGGCCCTACGATGGTGTTGTGGACTGTAGGGGGCGTTAAGTCCATGCATTAAATATCTATCTGATTAGGTAGCAGTCGCTATTGTGGATTTTCATTGGGGCAACTGTCATATTGACCTGTCGTCAAGTTTTCTGCTCATTTGAAACGTACAGTCATGCCTTTTTATGCTTTATTTGCACTCCTCGTACAACGGGACTGTGTAAGGTTGGCTTTGTGGTTGATTTCGTTGCGTGTTTGGGTTTGTGTATGAAGGGACAGCAATAAGGCCCAGTCACTAGCGTGGTTTCCATATCAAGGAGCTGTTTGCACGCATAATGTGCTTCTGAATATGTTTTTCTCTTAGGTGTTTCACAACTGCACTTGTGTGGGGGCTGAGTGGCCCCTCCCCACCGCAAATACCTCAGTTGTCCTGGGACAGTGTCCGCGGCCCGCAGACTGTGACCACATGTTCAAGTACTACATGGCGGTGACTGTGCTGGGGGCCTTCCTGATTGCCTGTGGAGCGACGCCCGGTTACATGGTCTTTCTCAGGTCAGCATATAGCTGAGGGTCTCGTGTCGCGCCCCCTGCTTAGAGGGTTGTGGTGGGGGCACTTATCTGTCTGGTGCAGTTACCAAACCATGAGCAGCGGACTGCTCAGAACTTGACCACTGTTTCCGTTGGGTGTGTGCAGGTCAGTTCCTCCAGAATTGAAGGCGCTGGCCCTCGGCATACACACCCTCATCATCCGATCTCTTGGTAAGAACCGTTGGAGTAACTTGCTCTTATATATCAATCAGCAGGGTTTGTTTGATGATTATGTGCAGAAAATAGATGTAAACTCTCCAACTCAGTGTTTCCTACAATACTACTGAAAAGTCTGGACATACCTACTGAAAATCATTAGTTTCTTAACAATATTGACCCTATTCGCACCTTGAAGTTATGTAGTAAGAATTATCTTATGAAGAAGGAAAGAGATTCTTCATATAGAGAATGTTGTGACAGGTGACCTGGCCTCCACAATCCCCAGACCTAAACCCTATAGAGTTGGTTTGGGATGACTTTGATTGAAGAATAAGAGCAAAGTCACCCAGCTGTGCCCGGAACTTGTGGAAACTCCTTCAGGACTCTCGGAGAAGCATTCCAGGTGGCTACATCTCAAAGCTGTTTGAAAGAATGGCAAGAGTCTACGTCAAAGCAGAAGGGCTGTTTTGAAGAATCTAAAATTTCGGAAATTTTTCAGAATTTTTTTTCAGAAATTAGTGTTGAACACTTATCAAAGTCATTGCAGTATTTCCTATGTATTATTTGCTGCCGAGGCCCTGTACTATAAGGTGAATGACAGTTAAAATCGAGACAAATGCATTAAAGGTGGTGTGTCCAGATTTCTGACTGGCACTGTATATATCAAACAGTACAGTTTCTTTGATAATCATGTTCAGAAAATAAAGGCAGCTCCCCAAAGTTGGTGTTCCTTAGCTGCTGCTGCCGGTGCTGTGAAGGCTGTCTGCTGGGATAATAAGCTGCCAGGCGCTGAGTGGGTCTTTCTCGCAGGTGGAATCCCGTCCCCCATTTACTTCGGGGCATTGATTGACAGGACGTGCCTGAAATGGGGCACCAAACGGTGCGGCGGGCGGGGGGCCTGCAGGCTCTACGACTCAGACGCGTTCAGGTGAGCGTCGCCCGGCCATCGGTGTGAAGCTCCCTGACCCACATGATCTCGCTCCAATACAGCTTCACTGGAAGCTCATCCTAGCTGTACCTGCTGTCTTGGGGGGGGGGGGCACCTGGGGAAGCTGTGCTGGGCCCAGGCCCAGAGGAGTGCCCGGGTTTGAGGGGCTCTGCATCTTGGGGGCCCAGCTTAAGTCATTTTTGCCCAACAATTATGCGTGTCAGGCCTGCTTCTGCCTAGTCAGCTTGACAATGTGTTTGTAGTCTGCTATTTGCCTCACTTGTACGTCGTTTTGTACACAAATGTCTGCTAAATAAAGTAAACGTACATGTATGATGGTGGTGAGATCAGCCAGCCCAGGACCAGCTACAAGGTTCTCCTGTCCTGTGCTTCTGCTACACGGCTCTGACTCATCCGCCACGGCGTAAGTATTATAATTTGTCTGTCACAATGCAGGATGACCTTCCTGGGCCTGATCTACGGGCTGTACACCCTGTCCTACGTGCTCTCGGGCTTCATGTACGTCAGGCTGTCCCGCAGGCAGAAGAAGCTCGCCCTTCGGGACCAGGCCAAAGCCATGGAGATGGAAGTCAACGGATTGAGCCGGGATGATGGGGACACAGTTTCCAAGGGGACCACCTGCGAGGGGAGCAAGCAGGGTGTGGACGGCACAGAGAGCAGCACGTGAACCTTGGGCGTGTGGGATCAGTGCTCTCTTCCACACCCAGAATCTCCCAGTTTCTGTCCAGTTTCTCTCACTGCCACTGTGGTAATATATCCATGTTACATTCTGACTTCTATCGCATTTTCATGCTATTTACGTTTAATTTGAACAGTTCTGGAACAGTCTGGAAGGCTAATAACACACGCGTTTGTGCTGTCACCCAGATCGTCCTCATACTGTCACCCTGTACCTTCCCCAGATGTCAAAAATCCAAAATCTGTGTAGCTCACTGACATTTAGGTCAGATAGGAATAGACAGAGCACATAGTTGGATGGGTTGCATAAACTGCCATCCGTCAAAACTCATTCTAACTAAATCCCTGAATTCCTGTAAAGCCTATGGATTGAAACAAGCATATATATTATCAAACAGCATAAGAGTCCTATATGGAACATCAGGTTTTCTCCACATCTCTCTGTACATAGGTTGGATGCATTATGTAAGGTCATCATTCTAATTATTTTATTTTGATTTTCATTTTTTTTTACTACATGTCTCAGCCAGAATGAGAGAATAGGTCTATGCTTGAATGAATGAATGAATGAATGAATGAATGAATGAATTACCTTCATAATTCATTCACAGAATGTTCAGTGCACGTTCATCATGCATTCATAAAACATTCATAAGCGACATGTAATTTTACGTTAACAGCTTTAATATACATTATAAACATTATAATCATATAATGTTTGTTATTAATGTATATTAAAGCTGTTAAGGTATGTTAATATGTTTAGGTATACTTACATGCTGTTTATGAATGCATTATAAATGCATTATGAAGGTGTACTGAATGTTCTATGAATGAATAATGAATGAATTATGAAGGTACAGTTAATGTAAAGCGTTACTGAGAATAGCCTATGAATTCTGCACACTACTGATATTATACAATGCCAGTCAAATATTTGGACGCACCTGCTGAAAATCATTTGTATAACGACCCTAAGCACACCTCAAGGTTATGTGATAAGTATTATCTCATGAACAAGGGAAGAGAGAGCATCCTGAGACCGGTGACCTGGCCTCTACAATCCTCCAACCTAAACCCTATACAGGTGGTTTGGGATGAGTTGGATCAAAGAGTTAGAGCAAGGTAGTCAACTTGTGCCCAGAATTTGTGGAAACTCCTTCAGGACTGTTGGAGAAGCATTCCAGGGGGCTACAGGAGTCTGCAATGCTGTCATCGAAGCAAAAGGGGGCTATTTTGAAGAGTCTGAGACACTTTGAAATGTTAAACATGTCTGTTGATCTTTGCAATATGTGACAGCTAATATAGAAAGAAGTGCATTAGAAGCAGGTGTATGCAGAATTTTAGCTAGAACTGTATGTCTAGGTGACATTGACGCATTTTACAGTGTTAATGTTGGCTTTTACAGTACATATGATTGGTTGACTTGAATAACAACCTCAGCCTTAATCCTGTGAAAGGTGATGGAAATTTATAAAGGACTATCTAAAAAATGATTTTAAATAAAGGCACTTATATGAAACAGAAGAGATCCGTAGAAAAATATAGCCACCTATAGTATCATTATATTGCAATTGTGTATATTTTTTAAAAATCTAAGAGAATACCTTGCTGTAATGCTTTTACACTACTGTCACTGCATGCCTGGGTATTATTTAATTTTTTATTAAGAGTGTATATGTTGCTGGTTTCTCAATCTGGCAGATTGTGTTTATTGACAGCTATACTCCATACCCAATGTTACAAATGACTCTCTTTGCTAAGTTAGCTGTTCTTCTGTCTCCCTGTTGCACGTGTGTTCCTGTTGAATCCCTCTGTACACTCAGAAAGCTGTAATGATGCAGAACGGACAGTAGGGTGTGCCAAAATGCTGCCGATTATTGTCCAGGAGCTCCACCAGCGGTCATGGCAAAGTCATCACAGACAGCAGTTACAATAAATAAATGTGGCTAGAACAATAAAAAAGAAAACAATCTATCAATACAACTAAATTTAATTATTAAAAATGTTTTTCTATAAATCTAAACCACTGTTGCCCAATTCAACTCAATTATTTATTACCCATCCTGAAAGTGAGCTTATGACTGTTATTTGAATATATTCCTTTCTGTTGATTTACTACATAAAATGTATTCGTACCACAGGCTGTTATTTAGGTAGGCAGCCTCCTTAAAATGTGTGCAAAAAAACACCCAGTCAGTTATCAGTTATATTTCACAGCAGATCAGAGCAGGAATGTGGTATACTTAAATCTTAATCCTAAAACCGCCTTGAGGACAAAGATAGCAGTGTGACAAATCGGTTGGCCCACGTACTGGTTAATATAGTAATAATTCATTCTTCCCAACTAGGAACAACCCACTTAGTTTTATCTATTAATGCATATCGGACTTAGGCAGTTCTAGATCAAGATTCCACCCCTTTTGTCTCAACCCCCCTGAAAATAACTTTTCTAAAACCATTCGGTGATTTGTCTTGTTTTTTTGTAGTACCCTGACTCGGCAAGCTTTATCGCGGGGACCCCTCCCCTGCACTGGAAATTTAACAGTGGAACGGGGGGTGTCCCAAATTTCTTCAGGGAGCTGGACACCCCTAAGGGTCAAATCCTAGTATCGCCAAAGATATAGAACTCTGTGGACTGTTTAAATGGACCATAACATCTGCTGCGGAAACATAAGGGTACAGTTTAAGGCCAAAATACATGCACACTGCTATTAATTAGAGGAATTGGCTAATTAATCCACACCTATTGCTGACATAGGTGTTTAATTAAGCGCACTGTCACGCAATGTCCTGCAATAAACATTAGCAGCGGTACGGGTGGCTGTACAGGAGAGGGTAGTGACTCTCCACTTGGCACCATCATTATAGTGCCATCTTTGCAACAAGTCAGTTCACTACATTTCTGGCCTGCTGGAGCTGCCCTGGTCAGCTGAAAGTGAAATAATAAAGGTCAGAACATCTGGGGGCAAGTTCAGTTCCAAAGCGGCAGGCTGCACACGCTGACGTGAAAGGGACCTGATCACCCAAGAAGAACATCCCACCCGCTACATTGCAACGTCTGATGAAAAACCTTCTATAACGCGTAGATGTTATTACAGCAACAATGTGGCAACCAACTTCAGACTGAGACCCTTGGATTCAAATTGAGATGCTTGACAGGTTGGTGTCCACATACTAGTGTTGCTTTCCAAAGCACAGGCAACGGATAGACATCTTTCATTTCCTTTTATTGCATCACAAATGTTCTCCTCTTTTTGTGAATGACATTTTGTTTATGTGGAACCTAGTACATGGTATATACAAATAGGACGTGTGCACAGCACAGCTGGACTTCTGTATATATTAGTCCCAAATTCTAGGAACTTAAGAAAGCCTGAGAATTTAAGTTCCCTACCAGTTTCTCATGTAGAGTAATGTTCCACTGAGAAAATGTTAAGATATGGTTGGAAATCCTTTGTTACAGGCAATCAAAGTATTCCCAAAGAGACTGTACTACAGTTGGGGCTCTGAAAGGGAGAAATGTGTGTCCACATCCACCTTCCCTTATGTCCATATATGGAGATGCTTCTCCTGTGCACAAGATAGTGTAAGTAATAAATGTCCAGAGTGACATTTTCTCAGTGACCCCCAGCAACTTGGCTTGTGCCTGGCCCCTTTTGTTAGGGGGGTGAGGGGTGGCAGCGAGGAGCTGTGTGCACGTGGAAAGCCGTGCCAGCCTCCTAGTGAAAGCACGGATTCACAGTACTAAAAGAAGCTTGGAACGTTTCTTTTTCAATATTTTTCCTACTTGATAGCACCGAATTGTCCGAGAATCAGGACTCTTTAGAATGGCGCAGGTTTGGTCAAAGGACAAAGACGATTTGCAAGTAAAATGCTGATAACTCAGGGCTTTTTGCTTTATAGAGACTGAAAAGTCTCATGTTTCTAGGAGAGAGACTTAACTGATCTACATCCGAGGCATTTGGGGGGCCCTTTTTCTCCCCTCCCAGCGGACAGGTGTGCTCATTGTCCTGCGCTGTAGTCACCAGTAACCCTTTTAGTAGATACTTTTTACTGATATTTTTCAGTAAGTGTGACCTAATATAGGAATGTCAGAAAACTGCTATTGCGTCGAGTTTCACTGATTAACTAAAGGTAAGTGCTTGCGTTAGCTATGACCACCTTACATTCACACTTTAACTTCAGCTTCTTTACAAAGGTGAAACAGGTTTGCCTTCTGCTTTTCGTATCGTATTTGTTCCCAGCTGTTAATCATAAGTCTGCCACTGTCTGGGATCTTAGGGGCTGCATTAGTTGAATTGCCCCAATAACCAAAAATTACGTTGGGTAAACTTTCATGTGCCGTACTGCTTTGCTATGAGATTCTGCTGTATAGCTGTGCTTAACACTGTTAACGCTTTAGCTAAAGACACCTTTCCTAAAGCGTCCCTGGCTACTGCGTTGTAGGTGATGTCCAAAAGAATTATAAACCAGAATGTTCTCAGCGTTGGTATGTCAGCTTGGGATTGGTACTAAACATTAGTGGTTTCAGTAGATTGTCATTAATAACTTACTTCAGAAAGTATTAGGTAAGGAAATGGGATCACATTTCGATGAATTTCTGGTGGTACTACATCAGCAGGCAATGTGATTCATGTAGTCTTATGACTGCAGTAGGCTGGTTTAGAGATTATATGTAATTACCAGCAGTCGAGCTAAATACAGGTTAGTCTTTCATTTGCACCTCACTGAGGTACAATGTATTTGAAAATAAGCAGGAATTCAAATCAGCTTTAAAAGAGGGAAAACAAAAGAGCAAGAAACTAATCAAATTAATTTTTTTTGCAACCTTTTGAGTACTTTTGAGTACTTTTGAGTACTTTTTCCAGACAAACGGAAGGAGAAAAATCTGGCTGACGGGGAGAAGGAATCTGAGAGCAGGGCTGAGTTACTGGCAGAGTCTTATTGTGCCTGACAGACAATCTCCGGTGGACGATGCACAGTGAAGCAGTGGAGGATGAGGACAAAACGACCAGCCAGCAGGTGCTCTTTGTGGCAGACCCCAGACCCGCCGGTCCCCGCTGCTCCCAGCTAAAGGTACCAAGACAATGCAGACTATTCAAGCTACAACATGTCAGTTAAAGAAGTGTCGTAGGATGTGCTTTGGGTTGATGGTGTTTTGGGTGAATCATGTGTTCAAGACGTGGAGTTGGTGCATCGTGTGGACAGCTCTGCACCAGCCTTAAACTCGCTCGCTCTCTCTTCTGTGATCATCCAGATATTTATCGTGGCGCTGTCCTTCGTCTTCTTCTCCAAGGCGCTCGCGGGCACCTATATGAAGAGCGCCATCACGCAGATCGAGAGGCGCTTTGACCTCTCAAGCTCCCTCACTGGGCTCATAGATGGTGGATTCGAGATGGGTAACATTTTTTAAACCTGTGTGCCGACAGAGGCTTGCACAACTTTAATGCTACTTGGGTGCATAAACCTCAGCATTTTGATTTCTCAGCTGGCTCTATGCTGCCCTCTGCAGGTAACCTGTTGTTCCTGGCTGTGGTAAGTCACTTTGGAGCCAGACTGCACCGACCCCGGCTGATTGCAGCGGGCTGTACACTCATGGCAGTCGGCTCTGCCTTTTCCGCCCTCCCACACTTCTTCATGGGAAGGTAAATATTCCCCTGTGGTAGAAATACAGTGAACGATCATACAATATCTCGAAGAATGACATACTCTTGTGGTGCATGTAAAGATGCTCAGGTACCCGAATACACACAACAGAAAGTAGATAAAGCCAAAACACAGCTGTCTGTACTGTCACTTCCCCACAGGTACAAATACGACACTATTGCAACAGCTTTGCTGAATGAAAGTTTCAACATAGTTCCCTGTCTGGAGCCTAAGCGAGAGACAAGCCAACTGGTCAACCACCTGACAACACCCCCCCAGAATGGAACTACAGAAACAGAACAAGGTAATTACCCTTCATATATATTCTGAGGCTCAGTTTAACAATAATCCCATCAATTCCGGCCCCAATTTTTGTGTCCCTGTTGTGGTAACTTTCACACTATTGGTTTATGCGTACATCGGTGCCGGTTGACTCTTTAGGCGACATAGGCAGCTGCCAAGGGCGCCGACTTTTGAGGGGGCTCTGACTTAGCAAGAGATTCATTTTGTCTTTGATGGGAACACTGGCAGTAAAGCTCACTTAGGGAGCCACATGGGCTTCAACCAGTACTTGTGTACCTATAGGTATCAGTACACTTATTTGAGTACTGTCTAGTCCCTGTGTAAAGTTTGGACGTTACCTATGCAGTAAATCGGCACTGTCCAGTGAAAAACACATATCACCAAAAATCCGTTATTTCAGGAGCATTTTCTCAGAACCTACTTTACAAAATAAACCTAAAACAATTTAATGATACACACTTAGCACCTAAAATTACCTGCACCAAAGGTAGTTTGGAAACCCTACAAACTATTTATTTACAAGGTAATAAAACTGATACATACATGTAAATAAGTGTGCAGAATTGTCTCAAATTGAAAATCTCACGGCAGCCAGCTGACTGAAGCTGGTAACCCTGCTTAGCACCACAAATAGAAACCTATCCGTACACAATTTATGTGGATTGTTATCAGCGAGGCAAATATGTCAGTATCATCAAGATACAAAGTAATCTCACTTTATATTGACAATTAAAAATAATGTTAGTTAGCTGCCTATCTAGCTATCAACGTCAAGTCGTTATAATTAGCGATATAAATACAATCCATACAAATGACCATCGTGAATTTCAAATGTTAAGTAGTACAAATATAAATGCTAGTTCAATAATTGACTTCATAAAACACCATTTCATTTATCAATTAAATCAGAGGTTCCAAAAGTTGGAGGTTATAGGTGGAGGGGTATTCAATCTTAATCATAACCCTAAATGGTTATCGTAATAAACAGTCATCGTAATGAACGGTCATCATAATAAACTGTCATTGTAATAAATTTATGAGGGGAACCGCTCCCCCCGGTCGGCAAAAAGCACTGAGGTGGACCCCCCCACACACACACACACACACACACACACACACACACACCCTTCTGTTCGCCAATGTGGGTGGCAAGTCTCTCACACTGTTATTTCTGGGCTTGTGGCCTGAAGTGTCTGGGATCTCATTAATTAGATGTGAAACACGATCAGTAGACAGAGGAGAATGAGCGTATTCCATCTACAGTAAAAAGTAACTATCATCAAAAGGAGGACATTCACGGTTTTGACAGCCACAATATCTGAGTGTAGACTCTGTGTCTCTGTGCAGACTGTAAGCAGGACACCGATTCCTACATGTGGCTGTACCTCTTCCTGGGGAACGCTCTAAGAGGGATTGGAGAAACTCCTGTCACACCGCTGGGAATATCATACATCGATGACTTTGCGGAGAAGCCCGAGAACTCTGCCTTCTACATAGGTAACGAAAGCCAGGGAAATCCCACCAAATTTCTTACATCATATGTCAGCTTGAGAAAGGGCTGCTCTTCTGAAAGGGTTTTCTGCACTCTCCACAGCCTGCCTGCAGTCCATCGCACTCCTTGGTCCCATGTTTGGGTTTTTGTTGGGGTCCCTGTGTGCCAAACTCTATGTTGACGTTGGATTTGTGACCGAAGGTAAGATTTTTAGTGCGGTAGCTCTGCAAAGCGTGTTCTGTTTATCAATCCAAAATAAATATCTAGAGAATGTCGTACCTTGCATCTTAAAACCTTGCGTAAAGGAAAGTTGTGTAATGGTTCTGGGTTTTAGTTTGGGTGGAATTAATATTTATTTAATTATAAATAAACATGATTGGTGTGTGTGTACTGTACCTGTGTGAATGTGTGCGTGTGCCTGCGTGTGCCTGTGTGGATGTTTGCGTGTGGTATGTATGTATCTCAGCACTGAACTCCGGGCTGCCGGATCACCCACAGACAGCGTGACCATCGCCCCCAGTGACACTCGCTGGGTGGGGGCTTGGTGGCTGGGCTTCTTCATCTCGGCGGCCATCATGTTCCTGGCCAGCCTTCCCTTCTGGTTCCTGCCCAAGTCCCTCCCCAAGGACCCTACAGCCGTACCTCAGTCTCAGATCGACCCCCCGAGTCCCCCTGCTGAAGAAATGGCAGACATCGCCAAGGGTGAGCTTTCACTAGCTCCAGGGGAAGACTTGAAGGCAAGGAAATGCCAAAACAATGTACCTTAATTAATGGATTTCCCTTATACTGTCTTACATCTGTTTTTATTTTTGCTTTTATAGCCTTATTTGTTCTTGCTGTCAGGTACCTGCAGGGGGCGCTCTAATGCACAGTCACCATCTGACAACCCAAATGGCCCCGGGGGCCTCTGACCATGTTATTGAGCCTTTAGGTACCTGGAAGCCTTGGTAGTAGTTTCATATTCCTGAAATCCAAGCTCAAAGCATTCATAATAGCTTTCTGAGTAACTGGGCAATGACATATCCTGCTTCTCTCACCATTTGTGCAGTGCTATTGTTGAGCACAGCATTCCAGACAGATTTTGCAGTTTTGGCGTCCTGTCACAAGCCATGCTTGTTTTCACAATGCTTGGTTTTGTTCCTCTTTCCCTGAATTGCCTTTTTTTCCCCCCCACAATCTCTGCCCTCAAAACATCTCTGCACACCATCTGACTGTGTATATCTATATATAACAAGTTTATTCCTAATAGAATTTGCTAGTGCTCGTATGGTGATGATGTCTTTTGGTTGCTTTTTAGGATTCTTTCCATCGCTAAGGAGGCTTCTGTGTACCCCTGTTTACTTCCTGCTTCTGTGTGAGAGCATCCTGAAATTTAACTCCTACTCCGGGCTGTTCGCATTCAAAGCCAAGTACATGGAACAGCAGTTTGGTCAGTCTGCGTTTCAGGCGAACTTCTTCATCGGTGAGTACGTCTGTCATTGGCTAGCCCTGAGCTCTTTGTTGCCGGGTTACACACTTTCAATTGAATCTCAACCCCACCTGGAGAGGAGGGTGAAAGGGGAGGGGCGGCCACATCCTCAGTCTGCATAGCTGGACCCAGGCGGTCACAGCCTGACCGTTACATGCCTTGCCCGGTCCCTGCAGGTGTGCTGAACATTCCTGCGGTCGTCGTGGCGATATTCCTGGGTGGGGTGCTGATGAAGCGACTCAAGCTAAACGTGATTTCAGGAGCTCAGCTGTCTGTGCTCACATCGATCCTGGCCTACCTGCTGATCATCGCGCAGTTTGGCATCAACTGTGAGAATCTCAAGGTGGCGGGATTAACGGCCACCTACAATGGGTTAATATCGCCGTCATGGCAACAATCAACAGCTTTGTATGGTAGGGGAGACTAGGAATAATCATTGAATTCTACTCATTTTTATAAACACAATGGAAAGAACTTTTTTTCCTTTCAAAGTAAAGTTATAATAGTTTGCTAAACATCACAATCTATGTTATGTAGGGATGTTACGCAATCTCTTCGAGTAACTGACCCTGTTCAACAGGTTTTCCCAGTCTCCCTTGCTCCATTTATGGTTATGTCTTACATTTACAAAATTATTTTTTATTTATTAATCGATTTCAGGAATTTTGACATGTGTATTTACTAAAACAATTGAAGATAGGTGCTTTATTTTAACAGCAATTTTCAGCCTTAATCAGTATTTTATTGACCACAATATCACCATCCATTCAGGACACCGGGGGTCTTCCCTGACGAGACCATGATCCAGTCATCATGCAATGAGGGCTGTTCCTGCCCCACCCAAGACTGGGACCCAGTGTGTTCCGACAATGGCATCACTTATATGTCACCATGCCTGGCCGGTTGCACCAGTTCCACGAGGAAAGGGAAGATCATGGTAAGGTGTCACTTCCTTGGGGTATGAAATGTTAGGCCCAGGGAATGCTTTCTTGTCTTTGGATCACAGGACAGTTAAGTCATCATCCAGACATTACCAAAAGGAAGGACGGCAACAAGTGTAAGGTGCATTACTATGGGAGCTATCACATTGTCGTAATCTTGTGAAATTGGCAAATGTTACAGGTAAAAGGTAGTCAGTCATATCATTATTGTTGCCTTCAGCTATATGATTCATGCGTTGTACCATGAGGAGGAATTTTGATATTGTTGGTTGTAGTGCAAGAAACAGTACTAAACAGAATATAAAAAACATGAGTCATTTATTCCTAGTACAAATAGGCAAAGAAATTGAATGAATAGGAATGTGCCGTTGTCGAAAGGTTCTATTCTTTTAATGGTATGAACAGCGTCTGTAGATGTTCCCAGGTTCCTGAGATCCTTTTATGAGAAATATGTTATGGACGTTGGTTGAGTGGCATTTCTTTTATATAGGAAATTGAGGGGAGTTTTTTATGAAGCTCTGAGTTTTAGTGGTTCTCCTGTTTTTCTTTGAACTCCAGATGTTTCACAACTGCAGCTGCGTGGGTTCCTCCCCTCCTCCGTCGGGAAGCATGTCCGTGTCCCTCGGCCAGTGTGCCCGGAGCGAGGTCTGCAGCATCCGCTTCATTGCATACATGACTCTGTCAGTCATCTGCTCCTTCATCGACGCCCTGGGAACCACACCGGGCTACATGGTCATCATATGGTCAGTCCCCACGGCCACCAAACAAAGGCCATGTGTTCATTATTCATGTAGGGTCTCAGCATAAGGAGCATGGTTTACTGAACCAATCTCACATCTAGGGGGACAATTTTAGAGAAGTTTTAAGAACACACTGCTGTGGTGTGACTGTTTTCTTCCCCAGACCTTTTGTCTTTTCAACTAGCATTTATATAGCAAGCAGTGGAGGAGTAGCACACTGGGTTTGTCTGGGTAGAGAACAGATTAATGGGTTTATAAAGTGAAACGGGGAGATTTTATTAGGAACCCTCAGAATACAGCAGGCAGGCATCCAAACAACGTCCAGCGCATCTAATTTCTCTAGAAACTAAAAGCATAGAACTGAAAACCCAGGAGAACTGGAACATTACTTCCAGTCATAATCAGCAACTTTGTTTTATGTATGTGAATTATTAATCGCACATGAATAGAGGGACTTGTACCTGGACCTCACACCTCACTGAAAACAAGGCACTGCCCAAAATCCCAGAGGAACTACCAAGAGTAACATCAGTAGGCTGTTAGTAGATATACCAGGGAGATCACCAGGCTGTCTACAGATATATTTCAGGGAGATCACTAGGCTATCTGCAAATATATCAGAGGGGATCTCCAGCCTGTCTGCAGACATATCATGGAGATCACCAGGCTGTCTGCATATACAGTATATCATGGAGATCACCAGGCTGTCTGCATATATATTAGGGAGATCACAAGGCTGTTTGCAGATATATCACGGAGATCACCAGGCTGTTTGCATATATATCATGGAGATCACCAGGCTGTTTGCAGATATATCATGGAGATCACCAGGCTGTCTGCCTATACATCAGGGAGATCACCAGTGTATTTGCAGACATTTCAGGGAGATCAGTTACATTTTATTTAATTAGCAGACACTTTTATCCAAAACTCATTCAGTCCTCATGTAATCCAGTGGAGAACCTTTATTACATTTCCAAAACTCAACAGAAATATTCTTGAAAAGGTATCCCATGAACTGAGTTTTGGACATTTGCTCTTCAGTTAAAAAGGTAAGACAGATCTTGGAACAATTGGTGGTTGAGGGCCTTGCTCAGGGGTTCAACGATGAAATCACTCCGCTGGTCTCAGGCCCAGCATTCTTACCCACTGAGCCACACCGTGCCGTTAGATCACCAGGCCGTTTGCAGACGTGTGCCAGCTGGAACCAAAAGGAAGCTCATCTGTTTGTTTTTTCTCTGGTCTCTAAAACTAGGTGCATCAAGCCTGAGTTAAAATCCCTGGGTCTAGGAATCCAAACCCTTGTGACAAGAACTCTGGGTAAGTGGAACGGAAGCATCATGAGAAATGCCCTCAACTGGTTATGGTGGTAATATAATGATTGACAGCTGATGCCTTCTTATAGTTTGTTGCTTGGTTTAGGATCTGTAAGTACATTTAGAAAGGAGGTTTGTTCATTTGTTCTCCCACAGGGGGCATCCCAGCTCCGGTGTATTTCGGAGCTCTGATTGACACCACTTGCTTGAAATGGGGTTTCAGAAAGTGCATGGGGACAGGAGCCTGTCGAATATACAATTCAGATATGTACAGGTCAGTCCAATCGTAAGTGTGTCGCTGTCATGTGTCTAGGTAAGGCGGTGGTGTGTGTGTGTATGGATCTGCATGTACATCCCTGGTCTCTAGTCAAAACTGTAGCGGAATTCATGAACTCTTGCTTCATTTCAGGGATAACAGTTGCTGAAACACACTGGCAGCAGGGGCATAAATAGGGGTGGGGCCACAGGGGCACTGGCCCCAGCTGAAAGCTGATTGGCCCCCCAGAGTACCCCCTCCCCTGTCACTCACCGATTCAAAACATATTGGCTAGTGCAGGGTTCTTCAACTCTGGACCTCGATTCCAAATCCAGGCCTTGTTTTCAGTTCTCCCAGGTAGTTGTTTAATAATTACTGATTCTGATTGGTCAGAGGCTTCACACCTGACTGACAGGTAAAGGAAGGCTGGAAAACCAGCAGTGCTCGGACCTCGAGGACCGTGAGTTGAATAACCCTGGGATAGTGATTAGGTTGGCCCCTCTGTATGAACTGTGGCCCCTCTTATGTCCCCTACCTTAAAAAATCCTAGAATCATCCCTGAATGGGAGACTGGACTGATCGCCCACATTAGAGTACACATCATTTTCAACCCCACAGAAATCTGCACCTCATTTCCAATTTCAACATAAGTTGGTTAGTGGCAACCATTGGTTGTAACTCAGATGCCTGCTTGTGGCTGACATGAATTTGTAGTCTTGTCCCTCCCTTCATGCAAGTAAGGGCCTTCAACCTTAGTACAAAACCGTAAATGTATATTTAAAACAATCAAAATGTTGTCCATTTTCGAACACAATATAACTGTTTAAGCAAAACATGCAAAAATGGCTGGTTAAGGAAAAGGAAGCTATGCAACTTATATTACATTATGAAATGTATGACAGACAGACAGACAGACAGATAGATAGATATACATACATACATATACATATATACATATCATACTACAATAATAATTTTTATCTATTTTTATATACATACTTACTTTATTGATCCCGAAAGACATTTTATTAACAAGGTAAACAGATATATTAATGTGTACCTGAAGAGTATGGCTGTGACAGTGGATGATTCACCTCAGTTTGTCTGTAGTATATATAGTAACGTTGTGGATCAAATTGAGTCTAGATAAAAATTATTATTGTAGTATGATATTCTGTAGCTGAATGTACCATCTAAAACATGGCAATTAATACTGCAACTGAAAAAGTTTTTAACTCTCTTGTTCTCAGAGTGATATTTCTGGGCTTAATAACGTGCTTAAAAGGCTCATCCTACTTCTTTTACGTTGGCGTGATTGTACTGCTGAGGAGACAATCAAGGACGGAAGGGGGCGAGCATTCGAGTCAGGGCGTGAACCAAGCTGAAGTGGAGCTCCAGCACACCCAGAGGACTTCAGATGAGTGCTTAACCACTGAGGGACAAAACCAGCAGGGTGGCCCTTCACCAAGGGAAGACAATGGGCGAGGTGAAGGGGACAGGATCATTGACCAGGTTAATGGACGGTTCCAGGAAGTGAGAGACAAGGCCACCAATCAGGACAGAGGGCAACTTCAGAAGGAAGCAGCCCATTGACTAAGCAAGTGGGCAAACACAGATATAACAGGAAAGAACTTGGCTAAAAGGCTATATCTGCAGAATGGTGATGGGACCAGCAAGTCGGCTACAAAACAATCAGAACTGGCGATTCTCCACAGCCAGACAGAGTGAGGCCAGCTGAATCCTTAGCAGAAGGAACATTGAATCCCTGTGATCTACGGCTAAAAGACACAGTGCTGTAATGTTATGCAAAATAGAAAGTTTATGTTAGGGATGTCATAATAGGTACGATTTTGCCCATTTCTGCATAGCTTTTTAGAAACACAACATCATTGTGTACCGAGGCGGGGTTCCTGTTATTCTGGGTAAATAATGCAGTCTGTCAGTAGCTTTGTGTAATGATTGGTATTAATTTGACATAAGTAGGGTGGATGATGGTGGTAATGTGTAAGCGAGTATGGGTGATTATACGGTACGTGCTGCCCCTGGCCATCTGCTCCGCGGGAATCCACAGCAGTTAATCAGCCCCATCCTGTGGGGCAGACGAGTGGCTGTCCCATTAACTGGATCATTTCTGGGCCCTGTATCCCCAAAGCCCCACTCCACAGACACCAGGACACCTCATAGGCCTAAGCTCAAAGGTCAAGCACTGGGCAACCAATCACAGCTATGCCTGGAGCTGTTGCCCTCTCAATGTGAATGCAGTTAATTAAAAATGGCTTCTTTTTTTAAACCAGCTACCTGCCTCTATTTGTATTACAATAAATATTGCGGAAATTGTCATGGCATTCTTGTTTACATTGACGGGAGAATGTGTTTATGCTCAGGTTAAACATACACCACAGTTTACACAGGATTCATGCTTTTTCCAGAGACATATTCTGATTGTTAATAATTATTCCTTTGACAAATTATTCACATGTGCAATTGATACAAAAGCATGCACTTTAATGTGCACACCAGACCAGGCAAAATCTAAAGTTTTTTTATTTTATTTTAGTTAATTATATTGACAAGTGTATCCAAGACATCTTACACTGCTCACTGTAAGATAACTATATTAAATGTGTAAAGTAGAAACATCAAGGATCCAGATATTGAGGAACCGGAGGTCAGAAATGAGAGAGGGGAATCGTAGGTATGAGGCATGGGTGGTTAGCTAAAAAGTCTGTCCTGGAGGTGCAAGGAAAGACATGCACACTGTGAGAGAGGTCGGGAAAACATCATTGGGCAGGGGTTTGGGGATCGCAAACACCACGGTAGGAAGTTCAGGCACTGCGGGGAAACCAGGGGACTCGCCAAACACTCAGACATTGCATATGAGACAATTCCTCATACTAAGTGAACTGGGTAAACTGGTTATATAGAGCTCAGTAATGATAGGAATGAGGTGCAGCTATTGACACTGCGGGGAATGAAAACGTCAAAAGAGGCATGGCTGAGGTGCATACGACAGATCTGACTTAAGCATTACAAAATGCAAAAAGTATAAATAGTATCTGTGATGACCAAGGTCTGAGTAACAGGGTGCCTAGAAAATGTGGAAAATAGCTGGTTTTGTCTGGACTGGGGGGCTCAGTATGATATGCCTTCATGGGGTCCAAAATCTCTCACACCACCCCTGACCAAGGGCGTAACTTTGGCTGGAACATTGAGGGAGTTGAGGTCTCCACCCATTACAGGAGAAAAATGATTATTGGGGGGTGGTCATATTAATTGGTTTTGATTTATTGGGGGGGCTGCAACCCCCCCCCCCCCCATCCCCCCGTAATTTACGCCCAGGCCCCTGACCAAGGTTATAATAGTTTAGCATTTTTCAATTTTCATTAGTTTTTTTTATTTAATTTTTACTTTGTAATTTAAATTTTTTATTCGTTTCTAAAGTGGGTTGCTAGTTTAGTTTAGTTTCAGTTTTTTGAAAATGATTAGTTTTAGTTTAGTTTTTATTAGTTTTAGTTTTTTGTAATATAAGGTATTTGTCGGTATTCAAATGTTGGTGGGGTTATTCCCCTTGAGAAATTTTCCACATATTGTATCACCTTCCATTACAAGGATATTAAACGCACAGTGGAAACCAATTTTAATGATGATGGCTATAGTGAGCACAGTTACAGTGATCAACCCCTTACATGCAGGGCCGGATTAAGGTGCACAGAGGCCCCTAGGCTACAGTAGTCTGTGGGCCCCCCAACCCCGCCCCCCTCCGCGCCAGTGGGGGCCCCCTTGCAGGCTGGCACACGTGGGGCCCCTAGGCTTAAGCCATATCTAGCCTGTGTGTTAATCCACCCCTGCTTACATGGATCAAAAATGCTGTTTAAACAATTCGCTTATGGTAATCAAGTAGTACGCTTACAGTTTTCATTTCAGATCTTTATATACAGTACATGACAACATACAGAAAAAATGAAAATTACGGTACTTCTTTTTTTTTTTACTTGCGTATTTTGCCTTGCGGAAACCCGTCTGCTTCGGCCAGCTACCCGAGGCTAATGCTGCGAGCACAAAAAACATGATGTGAAAAGAAAGTAATTTCCCTCAATGACAAATATAGATGCATCAAAGTTTATGATAAATTCCCAAAAACGAGCCATAGCAACGCAGCAGCGAAACTACAATAAGCTGTATGTTATGTACAGTAATATATTATAACGTGGTTGAATTGTACACAGTTCAGTAATGTAATTCGTGCAGGACTGTAATATGAAAAGCCTTTGAAACAGCTGTCAATAAAATTCAGTAAATAGCGACGCTGTCCGTTTCATTACCTTATATGAATGTAATAAATATACAAATGTCAATTAGAAAAAAGAAAAAAATCGGTTATAATTTCACCCAAACAGACGTGATCACTGTAAGCGGTTTCCACGGTAATCGCAAACGGCACTTTCTCCCGACCGCAGCCGCCATGACAGACGGACAAATTGGCTTTGTCTACGAGCAGGTGGCTTCACGTGCCTGTCATTAAGCCGCGCAAAACTGGCCCAACTAAAAGTTGGAAGAAACCGGCCACCTACCCAAATAACAAAATTGGTCTGGCCCACTTGTGCATGGGCCACACCCTTGCCTCAGTTCTGCCCCAAGTCTGGCTGGGTCCCCGGCCCAAAACTGGCCCAAACAATGAAAACCGAGACTAATAATTTGCTTTGGCCCAGATCTGGCCCACACACTGTAAAATGACTCCTATTGTTTCTTTTGGCCCAGATCTGGCCCACACACTGTAAAATGACTCCTATTGTTTCTTTTGGACCAGATCTGGCCCACACACCATAAAATGACTCCTATTGTTTCTTTTGGCCCAGATCTGGCCCACACACTGTAAAACTGGTTCTGACTGAGTGTCGGCTGAGTGCCGGCTTGGTCCCAGGGCCAGATGTGGCCCACAAACTGCCACAAAGTGCTCGAAAGGAAACACAAATTCAAAATTAGTAATCCATTTAAAAATACAAGGTATTTTTTATTAAATTATAACAAACATAATAAACAATTAACAAAAATAAATAATTATTACAAACAACCTACATTACAAAACCAATAACAAACTCTATAGAGCTGACAAAAACTACATTTTCTCTGTAGTTTTAGTTTATTTTGTTTTTAATTTCAGTTAGTTATAATTTTTTTTGTCAAACTTCGTTTTTATTTTTAAGTTAACAAAAAAGTTTTTTACATTTAGTTTCCGTTATTTCGTTAGTTTTCGTGAACGACAATAACACTGGTGATGATTGGATACACATAGTTACAAACACTGACAGAAACTATATTGTACCAGGCATTTAGAGTTGGGGGAAATGTTCACAACACAAGTACTGCAAGATTAAAGTCCGGAATTAAGTACAAAGTTGTTCACAGATGTGCCCTCAGCTAAAAACTGAGCACCAGAGGAGAGAATCTTGGATACTTCTATCAACAGCACCAGAGCAAAGGGAGGGATAAAAATATCACTCACAAAAAGCAGTGATGGTGGAAAAGGCAGGGCTCAAGAAAAGCCGGCTGTAGAGACAAACATCCTGCCCAGATTCCAGCAAAGCTTTGATATTCGGCAGGATCATAAACAATGTAGCTGACTTCCGTCCCTTGCAGTGGAAAGAATAGGGGAAACAATCAATAATGGTTAATAATTTGTGAAGGACGATACTGCATGGTTGCAGTCCATATTAAGTGGAGCAAACTCTTGGAACTCATTTCAGGAGCTACTTCTTTTGATGTGAGTATTTTTTTGACACCTGTCATTTATTTTACTCTTCTGTAGAGTGTGGGTGCCTTTGGAATCTTTGGGAAATTGTCTTCACTATCATAATATGCTTAATCTAATAATTTTGTATTAATTATAGTTGGTATAGAAGTTTTGATGAGACTTACATATAGAATACATTTAAGTAAGACTGACTCTTGTCTTAAATGATAAAGTTATTATATATTTGAATATGAAAATGGAAAATATGGGGCAATGTTCCACTTAAACTCTATCTTAGTAAATAAATGTAATTCTACTTTCTTTTATTAATATATTTTCAATGATTCATATGTTACTCTCAAGCCACTGACTACACACACCTTCATTTTTTGCTTCTGTTGTTTCGTATGCATACAGCAGCCTCCCTCTCCCTCACACTCTTCCCTAGGGAACTCGGTCTGCTCCAGAAGTCCACCTCAGGGCATGATGACAGTGAACGGCAGACCTGAGGATCCCACTGTGATGGCCGACAGCATGAAGAAGCCCGAATCGGCGTCTGGCCCAAAATGCTGTACTCCAAATCTGAAGGTAAACTGGCACACCTTCTTTTTTTTCTTCATCATCGTCAATCTTCATTATCAGTATCTTCCTCGTCGTCATTATCATTATCTTCTTGTTCTTCATCATTATTCTTGTTCCTTTTGCTGTTGTTCTTGTTTTTCTTCATTTTCTTCTTTATCTTATTATTATTATTAGGCTGCCGGCCAAGTAAATAATTAACGAAACAGATAGGTGAATGTATTATTGGTATATTAATATGCTTGTAAGTGTGTTGTGATGAGAACATAGTGAAAGACGTTCATTCATCCAAAGCCCTTCGGTTCTGTGGTGCTCTAGATGAGGCAAACTCTACTAGTCCAGAGAGTAGTACTCTTAAATCTTAGCCACCTTAGCATACAGAGACATAGGGGAAAGGCAAAGGTACACATCAACCGGCCTTAACCCCTGACCCCATGGCAAACACGAGCGCATTCAGACTGCACACACGCAAGAAAGGTACAGCCACTGTTTGCTGTCAAACAGCTGAGGTTCTGCCACAGAACGCTAAGTTATTAACCTCAGGTGGAATCATTTTAATTGACCATAAGTAGCTCTGAATCAGAAGACAGTCCCACTCAGTCACATCATGGTGCTTGAAATGCTTAAATGCTTATGTCTTGGTGGGTAACAGCAGATTCCCTTCACAGATGTTCATTGGAGTCCTTGCCCTAGGCTACTTCTCAAAGTCCTTATCTGCGAGTTACATGAAAAGCACCATCACTCAGATTGAAAGGAGGTTTGAGATCCCCAGCTCTACTGTCGGCATCATCGACTGCAGCTTTGAGATTGGTGAGTTCACCAGCAGGGAACAGCAGAGAAACTTAGTTGCATGAAAACATCTCCATCAGCCTCCATGAACACCTGTGTGCCAGATGTATAATTTGGTACCTGTACAGAGAACAGTGCAGCATCATGACGGACTCAGAGATCCATTCTGTGTAATGTTTTTTAATTTTATCATTTATGTATTAATAATCTTCCAACTGCTTACCCTGGTCAAGATCACTGT